AGAGAGAGAGAGAGAGAGAGAGAGAGAGAGAGAGAGAGAGAGAGAGAAATGTAACAGAAAATTAAAAATATATTAATATCAGCACCAATGAAAAAACCTTATTTCAGGTCCATATATATGGGCATGTATATGTTTGATTATGTGTCTATATGTCTCTACACACACATATGTGCTAAAGATTAAATCCACAGTCTCACCCTAAGCTAAGCACACACGCTATGACTGAGCTACACTCCTAACCCCCTAAATAAATTCACCCCATAACTAAGTAGCAACGCGAGTTCCACGAAATACAGTGTCTTAGGTAAGAGTTTTAGCGCCACCTGCTGTTCAGTCCACCAACAAACCTGGGTTCTTCAAGAAGATTCTGAGGCAAATCTCAAGCTTTTTGACTTACTGTAGACTCCAGGGTGGAGAAAGGATGTTTAGAAAAAACTCACAAAGCTGCTCACTAGTTCCTGTGGGTCAGAGTTGAGGAAAGGGAAGCATAGACAGGAGGATCTTAGCAGAGGTGAGGATCTGGGGAGGAGGGAAACAGCCTCTCACCCCAGCCACCTGACCTGGGGACCTGGGCCTTCCCATGGCAGGGTTCTGGATCAGGTCTGTCCTGAATATGTTGTATTTCTGACCCAGATCTCTATTTGTAGCCCTCATTGGCCTCAAACTGGTGACCATCCTCCTGCCTCAGCTCCCCAGTACTGATATTACTGGAGTAGTTAGCAAGATTTTCAATCTCACTAATCTCACAAAAAACAATAACCACAAAGCGAATGTCTTTGTATGTTAATGAAAAAATTAAAACAAATCAAATCAGCAATGTGGTAGTAAATCCAAACATCAGGACATTATTTATGAGAAGACCAAGAGACCAAGTTTCTCCACAGCCACAAACTACAAGTGGGTGGAGGCCTGTAGGATAAGACCTGCGTGAAGAGGGAGAGCAAAGAACGGTCCTGGATAGACCCAAGGGAAGCCCACAGGTGTTCATGGGACCTGGGACACAGACAGGCCACCTTGAAAAAACACAGGCACAACGTGAATCAGTCAGAATAATTAGAGAGAATACAATAAAAAATGAGAATAAAGAAAAAAATCAGAAATGACAACTAATCTACAAGAACATGAGAAAAAGTAACACATAAAACCTTTGTCATCAGGAGCCATAATAGGACAGACTAGTAACTAGCAGGTGATCTTCCTAAGATGGTCTGCCTCAGATTATAATATAATCTACAATGAATTCACTCTTATTAGGCAAGGCTGTAAGAGAATTCATTTTAGAAAAGATTCCTGCTATTAATATGCTTTCCCTGTTATTATTAGACATATATAACAATCACTAGGTAATAGCCCACCCCTTCAGAGCAGATCTCTGCAGATCTGTAAAGATGTACTGTCTTGTAGTGATGCTATATAAACAAATAGATGACTTCTTAAGTCTTGATGATCCTATAAGAATTCCTAAAATTATATCAATGATTATTAAGCTCTTTTATAGTGGGACTGCTATTAGGTTCTTTTCTGATAGTCAAAACTGCAATGAGGGGCCAGGCAGTGGTGGCACACGCCTCTAATCCCAGCACTTGGGAGGCAGAGGCAGGCAGATTTCTGAGTTCGAGGCCAGCCTGGTCTACAGAGTGAGTCCCAGGACAGCCAGGGCTATACAGAGAAACCTTGTCTCAAAAAACAAAACAAAACAAAAACCAACCAACCAAACAAACAAACAAAAAGATTAAAAAAAAAAACTGCAATGAGAACTCTGCCAGCCTCCCAAGTGTCACCAGTTAATTTCTCTTAGATAGTAACCAGACTTTCTCCTACTCAGAGCACATTCTAAGAGGTTGTAAAACAATTAACCAAGGGTCATAAAAAGGGAACTAATGGTTTATTATAGGTACTAGGAAATTAGATAAAATATTGACTGTGTTTATCTATACAAAACTTCACTAATAACTTGTTATGATTTTCAATCTTCAGTGAACCTGTGGAGCTGTGACAGGTGATGGATGTTTAGCCAGATAATTATTCCTAATGGATACGCATGTAAACATTCTCTGTTGTAAACTTCTGTTTCAATTTATGATTTGCTTTTTTTGTGTGAACTTGTGATGAAATCTTTAACATGTGATCATGTATTCTGAAAGATGTGTAAGTACTGAGGACAAAAAGAGAGAGGAGAATTTTTTCCCCCTAAGAAGAATTTTTTTCCTTAGTAAAAATTTTTTTCCCTTTCCCCACTTACAAGAATTTTTCCCTTTCCCTGCTTAGGATCTTTCCAATTTTCCCCTTAGATAGCGTTAACAGGAAACTTTTTATAACTTAGTAATAAACCCTATAATCACTTTTCATAGTGCCCCTTTTTCTTCCTGCAACTTCCAGCCACACAGTTCCTGCTGAGATAGAACAAAGGCCACATTACCTAATTCTCCTCTGTTAGCCTTTTCCCCTCAGAAAGAGCAAGAAGTTTTTAGGATTTTTTAGTAGCTATCATCAGCATTTCAGTACAGTTAGAGAACTAGAATGTCCGGAGACCCACAGACTTTAAAGCCATCACCAGAGTCCTACTCTGTGCACTCCACCACTACTCTTTCTGGGCAGGGAAGCTCCCCACACTTTGTGCTGGCTGCTTTCTGTCAGGGTGCTACCACGGGAAGTAGACAGGGGCAGGTACCGATGGGAGTCAGGGTCTGGTGGGAGTCCTTGTGCTTGCTTGTTTAGTTTTTGGCAGGATCTTCCTGGATAGCCAGGCTGATATTGGATCCTTCTGCCTCAGCCTCCCAAGTGAAGGCTTCAAATGTAGTGGCTTAGCCTCTGTCTTTAGATCATTAGAGGCCTGCTCTCTGTGATGATTAATCTCCATTGCTGATGTACAGGATAGCCTAGCATGGAAGACACATGCCAACTGTGGGCTGGAGTCCGCAGACCCAATAAAAAAGAGGAAACAGAGGAAGGCAGCTGAGAACTGGCATTCACTTTGTTTTGCCTCTTGACTGCAGACATTCAACTGGCCATATTCCTGCTGATGTGACTTCTAGGCCACGATGAACCTCATTCCCTGTAAACAAGCCAGGCATTTGTCACAGCAACAAGAACAGTACTTCAGACTCCTCTAAAGGGCACTGTGAAACCAACTGTTTCCTCTTTCTTTTACTTCCTGGCTGTGAGGTGGACAGTTAGCTTTGCCACACTACTCTTGCCATGATGTGCTGCTTTACCATAGGCACAGAGGTGCAGAGATCATAGGCTGGAGTTTCCAAAACCTACGAATAAAATAGACCTTTTCTCTTCATAAGCTATTAACTCAGGCATTTCATTATAGTGACAGAAAGCTGGCTAACAAAAAGGCCCAAGAACAAAACAACCAGAAAGACATCAGCAAAGGAATAGTAGTGTGCAAACCACAACTCCTTACAGAACTAAGACTGGACCAGGAGGGAGAGAATGGAGCAAGCATATGTTGGTTGTGGCCCTGGACAAATAGACCTGGAACTATTTTCTTACTCTCATTAGTAATTATTTTCGTGGTCCTAGGAATTGGTTCTGGGGCCCCACGCATTCTAAGCAAGAACTCTCCCACTGGGCTATCTCTCCAGCTTTAGGTTTTACATATTGTTTTGAGATATGGCCACTACTAGTTGTTTTTCTCATTGTGATCAAATCCCAACAAGAAGCAGTTTGAGGAAGGCAGGTTTATCTTGGCTACAGGTTAAGCTGAGCTGCAGTTCATCAAGGCAGAGAGGCAAAGACGTAAGAGAGTGAGTAACACTGTCCACAGAAACCAAGAGCAGCAGACAGGAAGTGGGGCCATGCTAGAAAACCCTGAGGACCACATCCCATGACACATTTCCTCCAGAAAACCCTACTTCCTAAAAGTTCCACAACCTTCTAAAGTAGCTCCATCAGCTTGGGGCTATGCATTCAAACACCCAAGCCTGTGGGGATCTCTTTCCATTCAAATAACAATAGTGCCACTCTAAGTGGCCTAGGCGGGGCCTTGAACTTTGAGATCTCTTGTCTCAGCCTCCTGAATAGCTGGAATATAAAGCTTGTTTCACTAGGCTGGTGACACTTAGTTCTTAGGTGAATTCTTTGGCTGATGTAGAATTCCAGTGAATACAGAAGACGATCGACAAGAGCAAAGCATAAAAGTTACAGTAAATTTGTTATGTGTGCAGTGACTATTGCAAGACCTTAAAGTCTGAAAAAATTACTACAGCCTGGGATGCTCATGCTCTTTAGACAAAGAACAATAAATGTGTGAAGGAATGATAGAACACATGGGTCTCTGAATAGGACAGCGTGTCCTATGAATGTTACAGAGAGACAGGTGAGGACAGGAAGGTTACAAAGGCTAATACCATTATTTCACCGAGTCATTTTTTCTGTCTCGCTACAGTCTTGTGTTTCAGTCTTTGGTGACTCACAATGTTTTCCAGTGTATGAAGAGATCCCTCCTAAAAGTATGTTTCTGGCTTGTTACATGTAGGAAAAGTTAGGCAGAATGGCCCTTTGTGAAGTGACATTTTCTGCATCTCAAAATAACCACTATGTCAATAGGGTTCTGTAGCAGGAGCTAAGGTGGGAGGAGTAAGGAGAGGAAGAGGAGAAGGAAGAGGAGGAGCTAGGGAGAGCAGAGATGTGGGAGGATGAAGAGCCACACGGGTATGGAAAGCAGTCCTGGGTAACAATTTATATTTAAGTTAGCTAATTGGGAAACAACTCTAATTGTATGGGCATATTGTTATTGAGCATTATCAAATATATAAAGCCTTTGATTAATATTTAAGCATTAGAGTCTCATTTTCCTACCGGACCCGTGTGGATGGCGGGATGGTCTGGGCAATGCCCAGCCTTGTGGAGACAGAGCCATCTCCCACACTGGCGTCTCATGGGTGGCAGGGCTGGTGTCTCTGACCACCTACAGCCACCACTGCTCATGGCTGCAGGCCTAGGCTAGTTGGGAACACGATTAAGAAAAGCCAGATTGAATGCCACTGATTTAAATAATTACCCTAAAGGGTTCCCTTCGAGGTACATGCCCATAACTTCTTCACTGACACTAGGGGAGGCTGGGTACATGCTAGATCCCTTCATTAGTTCCATAATCGTAGAGCATAAAGAAACAGAGAGGGCTGGTAAGTGGTCAGTGGGGAAACTGCCTGCTATGGAAGTCTGGAGACCTGAGTCTGAACCCACATAAAGGTGGAAGGAGAGGACAAACTCCACAAAATTATCCTGTCACCTCCATAGGAGTGCTGTGGGACACGTGTCCATCCCACTCAGCATGTACACACATGATAACAATAATTAATAGTTTAAAACTATGTGAAGAAGCAAGTCATGTGAGCATGACTGGAGAAGAGTGTTCCAGAAGAAAACGTTTGCCCAATACCTGAGTTGAGGGTGAGGTTAGAGGGTATAAGGGGTGGCAGGGGCCAGAGTGGCTCAAACGGAAGACGAGGACTCTGAAGTGGAGACAAGTCAGAGGGTGCTGGAGTATGGGAGGTGATATAGACCCTTGAAGGCTACTGCAGTCAAACTGTGTTTTACTGAGTGACACATGAAGCCATCTGAGAGTTTTAAGTAGAAAACTAAAAAGACCTGACTGCATATAGATTGAGCCAGGATCAGGCAGAGTGAAAAAGAAAGCTTGAGGCTGGAGAGATGGCTCAGCCGTTCAGTGCCCTGGCTGCTTTTCCTGAGCACCCACATCAGATGGCTCACAACCACCTGGAAGTCCAGCTCCAGGGGAGCTAACACCATCTTCTGGCCTCTGCAGGTCCTGGAGGAACATAGCATACACATACATAGAACACAAACATACATATAAACAAAAATACATCTTTAAAATGCCAAAGAAAGCTCCTAAATATGAGAAACACCCACATTTTTAATGCAATGAAAAATGGTGATAGATCAACATTACCTGTAGGGTATCAAAATGTGACCAACAGGTACCGGAAAATCTCTCCTTTTTTTCTTACTAAAGAAAGCATCTATCTATCTATCTATCTATCTATCTATCTATCTATCTATCTATCTATCTGTCATCTATGTAGATATAGATTAGCTGCTATAACAGATGCTCTGTGCACAGAAGGTAACATACGCAGAGAAGGTAAATTCCAAAAATGTTTTTTCCTGCCCTTGAGAAGTATCTACTTGGGCACCTGGTTGGTTCTGCATGGAGAAACTCACCTGAGCCAGGGCCAGGGCAGAATAGGGTGTGTCTTCAGCGGGTTTCACCACCACAGTGCAGCCAGCTGCCAGGGCGGCCCCCACTTTCCGGGTGATCATGGCACTGGGAAAATTCCACTGGAAGAACAGAGGAAGGATGTAAGCCTGGGAAGTGCCTCAGGATCCAAGACAAGGCAGGGCAGAGAGCCAGTCACCATCCCATTGCCCAACTGACTGGCAAACCTGTTTGCTCCTATGCAGGTGAGCTCAGCTGACCCTGGCCAGTGTGAGGGACTCAGGAGGTCAAAGTTCACAGAAGCAGGTCACAATCTGATATAGTACAAAACTATCTAGACCAATGTGTTCTTTGAGAGCCGCATTTTGAAGGATGTATAGTTTTTGTTACAACTCTGTCACCACTGCAGTTGCTTCATGAACACTGGCTCATAAATGGACCCCATGTGTACTAATAAAACTTTATTTATAAACGCATGTTCTGAGAAATATTTGGTCTGAGACTCTTAAGTAAAATAGGTGATGTGACTCTGAAAATGGCTGCTTTACTTACTTTCCGTATGATATCCCAATGAGCTCCTTGTAATTATTCCCACTTACATATTTGGTGTAAATAACAGGTAAATAACATCACAGGTGAATAACTTGCCCAAGATCACATGACCGACAATAGTGAGCTTCAGGGCAAGCTTCATCAGTTTAGGTAGCAAAGAGGACTCTATCTATAACTGTGCTGAACAGGAAAGGCCAACAGTCTTGAAAACAGCTGGCAGACCCTGGAGAAAAGTTGGCACCAAGCTCCTCCAGGAAGGGCTGGTGAGAGGAGTAGAGCCCACCAGTGTACTGCAAACCCATCTAGGCAAGACAGCATCTTAATTTGTCACCCTTGGACCTCCAGAACCTGGCCCTGTGCATACCCTCAAAGGCACAAATGTTCTGTTATTGATGATAATCACAAAGTAAACATAATTCTTTAATAATGGTACAATTGAAAAAAAAAGTAAATGTTCCCTTTGAAGTCTATTAAAAATGACAAAATTTCAAAGGTGTTTTCAGAGGAGCTAGGTGATACCAGGATGGAGTTTTCATGTCTGCTCAGAAAAGTCTCTGCAGGTCACCCTGTTTTTGAAGGCATCAGAAAACATGTGGTTCCATGTATGTCCCTACACTTTACCCTGTCACAAGACTGTGGAAACACAACTCTACATCCAGGAAAGGAATCAGGAAACCAAGGACAGGTGACAAAGCTGACAGGATGGACACACCTGTTCACCAGGAAAAAGAGATTGCCTTCCACTCCCACCCTGGGGACTGTGCTGGCCTTGCTACATACCGGTGTGATGATGGCCGCCACACCAACAGGCTGCTTGAGGACTAGCCCTCGCTTGTCTTTGGCAGAGGTATGGATGATGTCTCCATAAATGCGGCGAGCTTCCTCTGAGAACCACTCCAGGAAAAGGGCTGAATACAGAACTTCTCCCTGGGCCTCTTTCAGAGGCTTTCCCTAAATCAAATAAGAAAAGGTAATGCTCATCAAAAGTACAGCCTGTGTCTCTAAGTTATTCAAAGTTGCAAGAAGAAGAGAGAAAGCTTCCTTCTGCAAAGCACAGAGGTTGCTGAAAAACGACTAACTTTGGTGCAAGTCTTAGGGATTGGAATGATGGAGGTAAGATGAGCCACCAGCACGTGGTCACAGCTGCATAGTCTAAGGCTTCCCAAATACTAAGTCACAGTGCGAAATCTCTTACTCTGTGAATGAACTAATGGTGCAGTTCACAAATTTAAAAATAATGAGAAAACAAAAACAGGCTCATAGAAGAAAGTCACTGGGGCTGAAGTTAACTGCACAAGAGCAAACCAGTCAAAGTTCCAGCACCAGGGAACACTAGCCCCATGGCTAGCTGAGGAGACATAAGCAATCGAGGGCTGTGGGGGAGGGGAGTAACTTTTATATGAAGGGGTGGCCATTGCAGGTTGTCCATGCCGTAGTGTGTGGCCTCACACCGTGATTAGCACTAGCTGGACTAAGGTCATTAAAATGAAGAGGGCACGGAGTTAGGAGGGGACAGGATGAAGGGGTCCAAGGGGAATTGGACTCAGGGGAGGAGGCTGGTAGAATAAAAACACATTGTATACATGTATGAAATTCCCCACAAATAAGAAATATTATATTTTAAAAAAGAAAAAGGCTGTCTCAGTGGTTAAGAGCACTAGCTACTCTTCCAGAGGACCTGAGTTTGATTCCCAGCATCCTTATGGTGGCTCACAACCATTTGAAACTTCAGTTCAATGCCCTATTCTGACCTCCACTGGCATTGTACTTACACATGTACATACATACATACATGCATACACACACACACACACATAAAAGAATAGTAGCATAATTTAAAAAAAAACTAGAATAAATTAAAAATTTCAGTTTAACCAAAAAAACCAAAAAAAACCCCAAAAAACAAAAACAAACAAACAAACAAAATATCAGTGTTCATGTAGCTCCACACGAACCTATTGCCCAAATCTTTGTTCCTGTTATTTTATGCATCTCTGTGGGGCTGTGCATGCACATGGGTGCAGGTGCCCACAGATGTCAGAGGCACTGGGTTCCCCAGAGCTGGAGTTATGGGTAGTTGTGAGCTACCTGATGAGAGTTTGAGGACCTGAGCTTGGGTCCTCTGCAAGAGTAGTGCATGGTCTCAACTGCTGAGCACCCCAACTTTACTTTTTGCAAATCAGCATCAAATATACTACAGCACAGACATTTTGTTTCAGCAGATGTGTTTTCTGAGTGCTATGATGACTCAGTCCCTCATCATCCAAGGACCACATGCGAAGCTGCAGGACAGCAGTCGGGGGAAGCCAGGTGCGTTCCCATGCTCTGCTCTAAGCACGCCAGGACCCTTCCTCCTGGCAGCAAGCCGGGACCTTGAACTTACACTCTCGGCGGTTATGATCTCGGCAAGGTCGTCCTTATTTTGCATCATTAAGTCGTACCATCTCCGGAGTAATGAGCTCCTCTCCTGGAAAAGAAATGACGCAGGGAAGCAACGAACTGGGAAGTGCAGGGAAGATGGGTCGGCACCCTTTCCCTCCTAAGCACCAGCTACATTTATATGTCCAGTCTCACACTTGGAAGAAGAATAGTTCACCTCAAGGGTCAACTTCACCTGGCTGGAGGATGCCCCAGTAGCTAGTAAACATTTTGGGTTGGCCTATGGGTACTTTCCCCAGAAGAGCAGCACCTGGCAGAGACAGATACTGAGGGAAGCAGATGAATTGGCGCAGGGTATAATGACACATATCTATGAAGAAGTCACCATGAAGCCAAGGAGGAAGCTGAGGCAGGAGGATTGCCTTAGCCCAGAAGTTTGAGGCAAGCCTGTATCAATTCAGTGGTAGATATATCCCTGAACTTTTGATCATCTTGTGCTGGAAATATTGCTGTGTGCCACAAGCCCAGTTTGTGGGGAGCTGGGAATTGAACCCAGGGATTCATACATACATGGCAAGCTCTGCCAAATAAGCCACATCCCTACTTCAATAAGAATAGACTTACTCTCATCTGCCTGACTAGAATAGCCATGCAATGCAATAAACACACCTAGCATGTCATTCAGACATTGTCACCCACTCAGAGGTCTTTACTTTTATAATTCTAAAAAATGTGAACAGATAGCTGGTGGGTACACACAGCACTGTTGCCTCTGGAGAATGTTCCTTTTCTAACAAGCTGCATCTTTTCACAGCTCAAAAATTTTGCTGAGAGAAGTGAATATGAATCTGTCAGCGGGCCTGGGGATATGGTTCAGTCGATAAAGCATACATGAAGCCCTGGGTCCCAGCTTTAACTCAGCATTAATCTGGGCATCGCAGAACACGGCTAATCCCAGCACCTGTAGGCAGAAGGATCAGAAATTCAAGGGCATCACTGACTATATACCAAGATTGATGCCAGCCTGGGCTACATATGATCCTGTCTGAGGGCGAAAGTGACAATGGCCTGCTATGTGCTGGGAATGGGTACCACATTTACTCAGAGAAACAGTGAGAGGACATAACATAACAGAACTATAGAAATAAAATGTAAGAGTCTGGGCTGGATTAATAGTCCAACAATTAAAAGCAAATATTGTTCTTGAAAAGGACCCAAGTTTGGTTCCCAGCTACTACCATGCCAAGTAGCTTCACAACTGCTTGTAATTCTGAAACCTCTAGCCTCTGTGGGCACTGGGACTCATATGCACACACACACACACACACACACACACACACACACACACACGTACAGATGCACACACACACATGCAAACAAGCACATACACACAGACATACTACATATAATTAAAAATAAACTTCTTTTAAAAAGTAACATTCTGCCTTTATGTAGAAAATGCAATACCCGGGTTGGATTTATGTAAGCCAGTGGAAGTCATGAATACTCCTCATATGCAAAGCCCTTGGCATGACAGAGAATGGAGTAAACTGTGTCTACTTTAAACAGGTAACCTCTAGGCTCTCGGAATGCTACCTTATCTGGGGCAGGGTTTCATAGAAGCAGCAAAATAAAATGAGGTCATTAAGGTTCATCCTAATCTAATATTAATGGTGTTATTCTAAAAACAAGATGTGGCTGGATGTAGGGTCTGTGTGTTAGCATTCTGTTTAAACGCCACTCCACAGGTACCTGGCAGCAGCCAGGAATGCTTGACTCACTGTAAAAGGGGCTGCTTGCCCACTCCGTGCTCTCTTGCTCCTCTCTCGCTCTTTCTCTGCTTCCCTCCCCCACCATTCCCTTCCCCTCTTTCTCTCCAGAAAACCAAGTGTCAGAGGGACACAAGCCCATGGGGCAAGGCACCTGGAAAAGACAGGAGAACAAATTATCCCCTAGAATTTCTAGGAGGAACAAACCTTGCAAACTCAAGCTATGAGTGGTGGCCCATGCCTTTAATCCCAGCGCTTGGGAAGCAGAGGCAGGCTGAACTGTCTGAGTTCAAGGCCAGACTAGTCTACACAGTGAGTTCCAGTTTAGCCAGGATTACACAGAGAAACCTTGTCTTGAAAAAAAAAAAAAAGTTGCACCTATAGGTGACTATATCAAACAGCTTTTAAATTGGGGGTGGGGAGTAAATATATAAACCTTACATAATATTCTTTCTCTTGCCAGGTTATCAAATGTGGTGGTTTACCTGACAATGTTTTTGATGCCTGGGAATTTTTGGATAAACCTAAACATTGCCAGTATACATGATTTATGAAAGTAAATAATAATCTCAGCTGACTGCCTAGGCCAGTTCTGGTTCTGTTCTCTGTTTCCTGGCCTAGTCAGTCGCACGTAGAGATCCACCATGTGGTACGGTCGCCATGGAGCAGTGTCACCTTTCCCACATAATAACCCAAATCCCCCTTGTGAGTCAGATTCGATTCTTCCTCCCGTGAGTTGCTTCTGTCAGATATTTGTCTAACTAACATGCATCCTCTAGTTTGCAAGGTGAGAAAAGGTCATAGGCACATGAAAGGGAAGATGACGAGGTGTATGGACCAGTTCTGCTGCTTCAGAGAAAGAATAGTGGGAGGCCGAGTGACTGAAGTTACACATGAGCTGGACCCTCAAGAACACATAGACTGTGGGGTGGTGGGAAGTGAACGGGTTAGGGAAGGGAAGGGAGTGTACACTCAGGGAGAGATACAGGCAGTACAGACTCAGAGGAAAAAGGAGGGTGAGTTTCATTCTCTGCCTTTGTGACCCACTGTTTCCTTCAGGGAATCTATGGAACATCTCAGTAATATTCCGGCATCCAGGGACACCTTCAAGAAGGAAGCTTCTCTAAGAAGCCCCAGGCTCTTGTCATCTTGGAGCTGAAACACGTTCCTGCATTAGGGTGGAGGCTATGACTGCATGACAGAATGATGTTGCCAATTTCAGAGGAGCCCCAACACCAGGTATTTGGTTGCCGAACTACCAACAGGTCTAGAAAAGTTCCCTGCACGCCTGCACTGTGACATCACTGTGTGGTGCCCTTGATCTTGGTGAGTCTGTACAATGACGCTAGAGTGTCCAGGGATTAGGTCTGACCTACTCCCTGCCCATCATGCTCACAGCTGAGTGCACCGGCATGCGTAACTATGCTTAAACAGTATGACCGAGGGTTTACTTCATCTTACAGTCCATCTTCAAAGGAAGTTACGATGTGAATGGGAGGTAGAAACCTGGATGTAGGAACTGATGCAGAGGTCATGGAGGAGGGCTGCTAACTGGCTCGCTCCTTGTGGGCTGCTAAGCCTGCTCTCTTATATACTCTAGGAACACCTGCCTAGGGCAGTCCCGAGTACAGTCACCTGGGCCCTCCCACGTCAATCATCAATCAAAACATGCACCACAGGCCAATTTTATGGAGGCACTTTTGGATTATGATTCCTTCTTCCCAGATGACCCACCTTGTGTCAAGCTGACATAAAACTAGCCAGACCAATTTACTCCTTGTCAACTTCACATACAAACATACCACTTTAGCCACAACCTTTCCTTTCTTTCTTTTTTTTTTTTTAAAGATTTATTTATTTATTTATATGTAAGTACACTGTAGCTATCTTCAGACACCCATATGAGGGCATCAGATCTCATTGCAGATGGTTGTGAGCCACCATGTGGTTGCTGGGATTTGAACTCATGACCTCTAGAAGAGCAGTCAGTGCTCTTAACCACTGAGTCATCTCACCAGCCCAACCTTTCCTTTCTTGATGTTCTCTGAATATCATGTTAACATGAACCTCACAATGTAAAACATTCCTACTTTTAGAAGTTCCACAGTCTTTATAAATTCCACACTTCAAAAGTTCAGTTTAAAACGTTTCAAGTCTCTCTAAAACACTGAAACTCTCTTTAAAATATTCAACATCTCTGAGATATCCAAAGCCCTTCTAAATATCCAAAATCTTTTTAAATTTCTAAAATATTCCTAAATTTCCAAACTCTTAATTGTAACTTCTTTCTTTCCTTCTTTCTTCCTTTCTTCCTTCCTTTCTTCCTTCCTTCCTTCCTTCCTTCCTTCCTTTCTTTCTTTCTTTCTTTTTTTGGTTTTTCGAGACAGGGTTTCTCCGTATAGCCCTGGCTGTCCTGGAACTCACTCTGTAGACCAGACTGGTCTCTAACTCAGAAATCCACCTGCCTCTGCCTCCCAAGTGCTGGGATTAAAGGCATGTGCCACCACCACCCGGCTGTAAGCTCTTATAAAACCTCAAATAAGTTAAACACTTTTTTATTCCAAGAGAGACGAACCAGGCACAGTTACAATCAGATTAGAGCAAAACCAAAGTTCAACAGTGTGACGAAATTATCAGGCTTCTGGGGCACATGATCTCAGGCTTGGCAGCGGCTCTTCTCCATCTCTGCCACCCACAGCTCACACAGCAATCTCACAGGCCCAGGCTAGCTCTGCTCCACAGCTGCTGCTGCCCTTGGTGACCATCCCACTATCATACTCCAAGTGATCTCCCAAATGCTGGGGTCTCCTGCTGCAAATGGGCTGCACCTTCACCAACGGCCTCTCCTACTACGCTCTCTTCAGGAACTCTGACCCTGACACATGGTGCCAAGCTGCACCCTCTTTGTGACCCCTTCAATCCTGGGACTTCTGAGGTGCACCTTCACCAATGGCCTCTCCTGGGTTCTTTAGCCCTGGTACATAGTGTCAAGCCTCAGCTGCTCTCCATGACCCCTTCATGCCTTCAAAACCGGGGTAACTCCTACACTACCAAAGTTAGCTTCCAGCATAAGATAAAGTCTCGCACCATTCTGGACCACAGCTTCTGTGGAAATACCCCCAGAAGATTTCTTCTCAATGTTGCTGGTCTCTTTTTAATCACCACTAATTTCTTAGCTCCAGATAACCAGCATTGCTTGTCTCAGCAAAGCAAAAGTTTCACTTCATGAGCTCTTAATTCAAAATACCACAAGAATGGCTTTGGTAGCGTCTTTAAGGGACTTTTAAACTTTCCCCCGAAATTTCACAAGCCAGGCATCTGCATTGCTCTTAACATTAGCTCCCAACCTCCTACGGAACAGCCCACTGAGCTCTTGGGCACTCAATAGCTTTTCCTGTCCAGAGTTCAAATGATACCACAGGCCTCCCAAAACACAGGCAACCCTGTCACAGAAATGCCTGTATCTGGTACAAATTTCTTTTTCTTTCTTCCTTCCTTCCTTCCTTCCTTCCTTCCTTCCTTTCTTCCTTCCTTCCTTCCTTCCTTCCTTCCTTCCTTTCCTCCTTTCTTTCAAGCTGTATTTTCTTATCGATGTGTGCTTGTTGTTTTTAATAATTTATTTATTTGTATGTCTATATACATTGGTGTTTTGCCTACATGTATGTCTGGGTGAGGGTGTCCCTGGAACAGAAGTTAGACAGTTGTGAGCTGCTATGTGGGTGTTAGGAATTGAACATGGGTCCTATGGAATATCAGCCAGCTCTTAACTGCTGAGCCATCTTTCCAGCTCTGTACTAATTTCTATCTTAGGGTTTCTATTGCTGTGCTAAAATACCATGACCAAAAGCTACTTGGGGAAGAAAAGTATTTTCTTTTATCCTACATTTCTGCATCACAGTCGGTCATCAATGGAAATTAAGACAAGAACTGGAGGCAGGAACCTGGAGGCAGGAACTGATGCAGAGGCCATAGAGGAGTGCTGCTGACTAGCTTGCTTCTCATGGCTTGCTCAGACTACCTGCTCAGGGGTGGCACCACCCACAATGGGCTGGACCATCTCATATCCATCAAGATCATCTCCTACAGCTCTTCCTATAGGCCAATTATTTTATTAAGATTCCTTCTTTTCAGGTGACTCTATTTGTGAGACGAAACAATCCAGCCAGCACACATACCCAGCACAGTCCAGCACTATGACAGCTATAGAAGTGAAACTTCTAGATCAGTACCAGCTTGATGCCTCTTTGTCCCATCACTCAAATATTTGGTATTTTCATCAGTAGGGTCTTACCATCAGGTTCTGGGAGGTAACCAATGGCACTGGCAATAGCCTTTAGTAACACTAAAGATCCCCCCCTTTTTTAAAAGTCATATGGAAACCTACCTTCTACTATAAAAGCTTCCATAGATAGAGAGAATTAAAATAAGTTACTCTCTAGCAAGCTAGCAATGCCTTACTAAGCACCACAGGCTAACAAAAAAAAGAACCCAGTGCCAGCAATGGATAACATCTTTTGGAGTTGTTACCCACTGAGGTCCCATAGACCTCCAAACAGTACAGGCTATTATCGAACGTGGATTCCTACCAGCTAAATCCATAGGAAAAACAAAATTATTTTCTTTATAAAGTTAGCATGCCTCAAGAATTTCCTCATTAACAAAAACAAAGAAACAACAATAACAAAACCAAGCACAGGCCTGTTCTTCGGCCACAGCCCTCTGACAGCCTCTTACAGAATCCCCATTACTGCCTCAGTCAAAGTATACTGTGAAGTCCTTGGATGGTCCACAGGTCCTGAATGGACCAGCCTCTTCCTTCCCACCCTCTACAACAGCTCCCTGCATATCTTCCTAGTTCTTGGTCCACCCTGGGCCACAAGGGCCTCCTTTCCATCCTGGAAGCTGAGTAGCCATGTTCCTGAGTTGCTCAGGATCTCCCCTTACCTCTCTTCGTCCTTATACCTTATACCCTCAGAAAGGCCGACCCTGATGTTATAGGAGAAAATGTGTCCTTTGCTAGAGGGAGGGGTTGACGTCTTGACCCAACCTCATCTGTGCCTCAGAATGAGATAAAGTCTTTAAAGAGGTGATTAAATGCAGCTAGGCCTTCAGTCAACAAGTGGCCCCAGAGGAAGTCGATGGTGACAGAACAACATGGACCATTTGGAGAAAAAGAATAATGTCTACAAGCTCAGGAGAGAGGCCTCAGAAGGAACCAGTCCTGCCACCATCTTAATCTCTGTCTTAGGGTTTCCATTGCTGCAACAAAACACCATGGCCAAAAAGAAAGTTGGTGAGGAAAGCATTTATTTGGCTTACACTTCGACAACACTGTTTATCGTGGAAGGAAGCCAGGACAGGACCTCAAGCAGGGCAGAAACCTTGAAGCAGGAGCTGATGCAGAGGCCATGAGGGTGCTGCTTACCAATGGCTTGCTCAGCCTGCTTTCTTATAGAACCCAGGACCACTAGACAAGGGATGGTGCCACCCACAGTGGGCTGGGTCCTCCTCCACGGATCACTAATTAAGAAAATGTTTTGTAGGCTTCCCTATAGTTCAATCTTATGGAGGTTCCCTCCTCTCTGATGACTTTAGCTTATGTCAAGTTCACATAGAATTTAGCCAGCACAGCCTCTGACTTCTGACCTTGGGAATTGCAGGAAGACACAATTCTACCACTTTAAGCCGCCCCAATGGCCACCGTGCCCTTTCCTCTCACCTCTAACCTCTGACCTCTGGGCCTGCATCTGTCATTTATCCCCCACATTGTTCATCAGCTCCAGCACACTTTCTTGCTGTTTACTGCTTTCAGTTTGGATTTCCAAAACATCAGGTGAGCTCTATAAGGAGCTGGATTTTTCTTAAGATTCATTTATTGTTATTTTATGCATATGAAGCATTTGCTTGCATGTCTGTATGTGTCTCTTCAGCAGTCCCCTGGAATTGGAGTTATAGGCTGTTGAGAGTTGCCACGAGAGAGCTGAGAACTGAACCCAGAAGCTCTGCAAGACCAGCAAATATATCTTTTTTTTTTTTTTTTTTGAGACAGGGTTTCTCTATGTAGCCCTGGCTGTCCTGGAATTCACTCTGTAGACCAGGCTGGCCCGCCTGCCTCTGCCTCCCAAGTGCTGGGATTAAAGGCGTGCGCCACCACTGCCCGGCCAGCAAGTATATCTTAAAGGCCCAACCATTCTCCAGCCTCCCCTAATCTTTTTTTCTTGACTCTGTATTCCTAGCACCTCCAGAAATACGTGGCATCTCCAGTAACTACACACAGGGTGGATCGATGTTAAGGCTCTGGTGCTTGTACCCCCATCACGAGGCAGCAGCTATCTTCTGAGAGGATATGAAGGATAAAGAAACTATGATTTCACGGGGTTGGCTGCAGGGTTACAAATCATAAATAAAGGAGGAAGAATTTTTCTAAAATAATTTTCTATCCTTACCACCTATCCTCCTTGATCCAGCCATCTCTGTTAGTAAGTGGTAGCCCTTACCCATTCAGACCTAAAATCAGAGAATGTCCCTAGACTTTTCCCTCCTCTGAACAAAGCTACATGTCCTTTCTCAGTGTCCTTGGCACAACTCCTACCCATACAGCCCCAGAATACAACCTACATGTACAGATATATAGTCCCTACATACAGCTTTCACATATAGGACTCTCTCCCTTCCTTTTTCTATATACACGCGCGCGCGCACACACACACACACACACACACACACACACACACACACACACACTCAAACAGGCTGGCTGACATTATTCAGCTCACTTTTATTGTGCACCCCTGTCGATACTTGAAAGTAGGGGGATTTGTTACCGTGCTGGGCCCCATGCTCCAAACTTGTTTATCTCTTTTTGTTGTTTGCTCTGGCTTTCGGTACCCTGTACTCCGAGGAACCGGGATGCAGGTGTCACAGGTTAGTTTCACTTTGTGGATCTCTGCCTCCCCCTAGGCCGGGATCCTGAACCTGACGCTCTCACCTTGACCGAGACCCCTTTCCAGCTGCGGAAGGCATCGTAGGCGGCGCGCACAGCAGCGCGGGTCTCGGGTACCCCGCAGTCGGCCACGGTGCCCAGCTTGGCGCCGCTGGCCGGGTCGTACACCGGGAAGGTGGCGGGGGCTGGGAGCCAGCGGCCGCCCACGAAGCTGTCCCCGCGGAATAGGTCGCCGTGGAGGCCAGCAAGGCCGCTGGCGTAGCTCCGCCGTTGGGCTCCCGCGAGCTCCGCACCGAGTCGGCCCGGAGGCGGCAGCGCCGGACGCGCGGCCCAGAAGCTCCGCCGCAGAAAGCAGGTCGCCATGGCGGCGACACCGGCAAGGGACAGGCAAGCGAGCTGCAGGAGCTCAGGGGTCGCGGGAAAGCGGGAGCACAGCGGAGCGGACGCGCGGGGCGGCGGGAACGCGCGGGGCGGCGGGAACGCGCGGGGCGGCGGGAACGCGCGGGGCGGCGGGAACGCGCGGGGCGGCGGGAACGCGCGGGGCGGCGGGGACACCGAGAGCGCCCCCTCTCTGAGCTATTGAGACTGGAGCTGCGAAGAGATAGATCCTGAACTGATCTGTGTTCCTCGCTCGTCCTTCTCCAGGGCCTGCAAATGGAAAGACTCCCAGCAAGAAGTATTTGTGCGCCGGGCGGTGGTGGCGCACGCCTTTAATCCCAGCACTTGGGAGGCAGAGGCAGGCGGATTTCTGAGTTCGAGACCAGCCTGGTCTACAGAGTGAGTTCCAGGACAGCCTGGGCTATATGGAGAAACCCTGTCTCGAAAAACCAAAAAGAAAAAAAAAAAGAAGAAAAATTTGTGCACATGAGTCACCCTTCTCATTGTCGGATGCTCACCTGTCAGTTCTCTAGGCCTTAATTATGACAGGAGCACTTTCTGTTTTTCAGTTCCCCAGCCCCGGCAACCGGCAATCTGCACTCAGTCTAGAGATGGCACCAAAACCAAAATCGCAGTTTCCATATGCTCGGGCTACTGAGCGTTGGGATTGGGGACCACTGTTCAGTGAGGGGTGAAGTGTGGCTCAGTAATCTGTCCCTTGCATGCTTTTCTGCATATCCCCTTCATGAATTCGGAGCACAGAGATCCTGAGTACTGGGATTTGGGGCAACCGTTCAACTAGGGGCGAAGTGAGGCTCAGGGATTCCTCTTGCATGCTCTCTGTGTGTTTCCTCTGTTGGTCCTGAGCAGGGTGCTCCCAAACCACCGGACTTTGCTTCGTGACTTAGCTGCTGTACATCAAGCAACTAACAAAGCTGAAGTTTGGCCAATTCTTAACTGGAAACAATCAAAATAGAAGTAATAAGCCCAGTGTTGTGGCCCACGCCTTTAATACCAGCACTTGGGAGGCAGAGGTAGGAGGCTCTCTGTGAGTTCAAGGTCAACCAAAGCCATATACTGAGATCCTGTTTTAAAAAAGAAGTCAACAGGGGTGTGAGGATTGAACATAGCACCATCACCTTAAACACCATTTTCATCCTTCTGTTACATCTGGGCCCCAAACTCTGCAGCGGAAAGAAACCCTAAGTTTTAGTTTGACTAAAAGAAGTAGCAGGTTTGTGCTCAGAGTGTGTGGAGTCAAATGCTATTATTATTATTATTATTAAGAAAACATGTTACTATGTAGCCTAGGATGACCTACATCTCCCAGTCTTCCTTCCCAGAGTTCTGGGATTACAGGCAAGCGCTACATGCCCCAGTTAGACTATTGTACTTGCAAAATGCCTGGGATGTACTTTTAATTGTTGGTTTTGTCTTCTGCTGAGTCAGAGCCACCCAGTCTTGTGCCAGTCGCATCTGACAGAAGTCTCAACAGCAGGATTTAATTGTGTGTGCAGGTAGGTGTGCACAAGTGTGTGCTGTGTGTGTTTACTACTTTGTCCTGTATTTTATTGAGGGAATTGGGGCGAGAAGGGGTCAAGATAAGGAGGTCCTCCCATGGCTTTCTTGACTATTGCAAACTGGCCTGGATGCCTGCTGCCTGTAGGGGGCGCTCTATTGATACACCATTCTATCTTCTCTGGGCATTTCTTCAGATCTTGTCTTAATCATTGTATACTCCAAACTTGAAATCAGCCGTGTGTCTCAGGATCCAATCTAGAATTCACTGTCTTTCGTTCTCTCTCATTCTCCCTTTCCTTCTTCCTCTCTTCTTCTTTTATTTCTGTTTTTTCTTTTTCCAAAAACAGAAATAAAAGAAAAACAACTTCTTGTTAACCAACGCCAAGGTCAAATGCACTATGTAGCCCAGGCTGATCTTGAATTCAGGGAATCCTCGGTGTCAACCTGAGTGTATTCGAATGAGTCACCACCGCCCTGGCTTGAGAAACAAAGCTCAGCCTACTCTCCTTTTCAGCTGAGTTGCCCACCATGCACCCTAGGAGTAACACCGAAGCTCCACAGCACTTTCACCGTTTCATTGAAAGTGAGAAAACAAAACAAAACACCATACCTCCCCCCTCCAAATCCCTAAACACACGATTTAGGTATATTCTTACTATTAATCTGCACACCAATGCAGTATTAAAGTCTTTTTATTTTATTTTATTTTTATTTTTTTACTTACTTGTTGAAGGAAAGAGCTCACCAAGGCAACTGTCCCTACAGTCTGAGAAGTTCATTAAGTGGCACTCAAAACTTCCTACACTGAGTCTTCCAAGCCCCATTTGGAGTGGAAACAATTCCCTCCAACCTCCTAGCTTACTTCCTGATGACTCCCCAGATCTTGGGTGCGCATGCTCACTATAGGACCCAGAGGAGAAGCGCACCGGGAGACAGGAGCCTTTTCTTTTCTCCTTGTGCTCCCGGGTACCATGAGTTTCCAGTTCCTGGCTTTTAAAACTAATTTATTTATGTGATGAAGGGGAGGGTTGCCAGAATTGATTTTTTTTTCTCTTCTACCATGTGGGTCGCTGGGATTGTCCTGGGTCCTCAGGCTCGGCAGCAAGCATCTTTCCCTGATGAGCTATTATCACCCCTAAAGCCCCCTCTCTGGATTTGTCCACCCTCTTCCCCAGCTGCTGTCATGGTGCTATAAGACAGTGACATAGAAGACTACCAGAGAAATGAATTGCTTTATTTAACACTAAAATTATATCTAAAGCTGGACTTGGGGGCTCGGGCCTGCATTCCCAGCACAGAGATGTAGAGACAAAGAGATGGAGAATTTAAGGCAGGAGCTGGGAAGATGGCCCAGCGGGTAAGTGCTTGCCGTACAAGCCTAGTGACCCGAGTTCAATCTGCAGCACCCATGTAGAAAGGTGGATTCGGTGGCCATACCTGCAATTCCACTACTCGTACGACAAGTGAAGACAGACGAATCACCCGGAAGCACCAGTTAGCCCGGAGCACTCTGAGAAGGAGAAACAGAAGAGAGACCCTGCCTCAAGCAAATGAGTGTGTGTGTGTGTGTGTGTGTGTGTGTGTGTGTGTAATGTATGCGTGCGCTGAAACTTGTCCTCTCACCTCCACAGGTGTTCTTGCATACACACACACACACTTAAATAAATCAAGGCATAACATAACTCAGCTGCATAGATGGTTTGAGGGCAGCCTAAACTACATGCGGCTTTACACCAAAGTATTGTATTTCATCATTTATCTGCATATGGAGACTAGCTTTCATTTCAATGGTTTCATCCAGTTTTGCTTCATATCCATATCTGGAAATCATCTTATACTGACTAACCTGAATGCAACATTGTTTTATTGACAGGAAAGAAACCAATAAATGGGTAGGGGATATAGCTCAGTGTTAGAACACTTGTTTAAAATGAAGGAAGCCCTGGATTTGAGCCCCTGTACCACAAAACCCAAACTAAACAAAAATAAACAAGGAAAATAATAGAAGTTCGTGGTGAGTCTTTTGGGTGGGGACCTTTTCTTCTGAATGATAGTTGTGGAGGCATATTGCACTGATGGTATACTAATCTCCATTTAAAATGCATTGTATATTCATTCATCTGATATCCACCACAATGACCCATAAGGCGGACACTATTATTATCTCTGAGTCACAGAGAAGCAGCCGCATATTTTAATAACTTGCACAAGGTCACTCAGACCGAAGCTACCAGAATTGGTACGCAAATGAAGCACACATTCTCACCCGCTCCTAGGATACCTGCACACTTGCTTTTCAATTTGTGTTTGCATTTCAGAAGAGCTCCAGATGATGGAATCCCACTGTCTCTGCGTTAGCAAGGGGGATAACAGTAGGAAAAAAAATATTTTCATAAGCATGTGAGCATATACGATATAGAGGTCAGAGGTCAACATCAGGTATCTTTCTCAATAGCTTTCCTCCAGTTTATCTCTGAGATGGTCTTTCTTTTTTCTTTTCTTTCTTTTTTTTTTTTTTTTTTTTTTTGGTTTTTTGAAACAGGGTTTCTCTGTGTAGCCCTGGCTGTCAATGACCGTGTAAATGACCTCAAGCTGGCCTCAAACTCAGAAATCCACCTGTCTCTGCCTCCCAAGTGCTGGGATTAAAGGCATGCACCATCACCGCCCGGCCGAAATGGTCTTTCACCAAACCTGGAGCTCATTGATTTTGGTTAGGCTGGCTGGGCGATGCACTCCAGGAATCTGCTTGCCTGTGCCTCCCCAGCCCTGGAGTTACAGGAGCACCCTACTGTGCCTGGTTTTTAAATGCTGGTAAGGATGGGAATTCGGTTCACATGCTTGTGATTTAATGAGTAAGGCATCTCCCCAGCATTTCTCAAAAATAGCAATATTATCTCATAACCATCATATTGTACTAAGTGAGGAATTCTTTCATTTTTTGTTGCATTAACAAATGTGGTCATGCCGGGCAGTGGTGGTACACGCCTTTAATCCTAGCACTTGGGAGGCAGAGGCAGGCGGATTTCTGAGTTCCAGAGTTCGAGGCTAGCCTGGTCTACAGAGTGAGTTCCAGGACAGCCAGGGCTACACAGAGAAACCCTGTCTCGAAAAACCAAACCAAACCAAAAAAAAAAAAAAAGTTGTGCTGGAATAACCAGCTGTGATGATGTCAGAGTCCAGTGGTAACAGATACGAGTGGTTATCTACTGTGTACGTCAGCAGTAATGCCAAATCGGACATAAAAAGAAGAGCCCAATTGGAGCACTTCATTCACACTTGTAGCCATGATTGGCCAATGTGATCCTCTGGACAAAGCCTCCTCAGCACCCGCTCATTACAGAATTAACCGAGAGACCAATGCCTCCAGCTTCTTCAAGGTCAAGTACACTATGAGGTCAAATTAGCAATTCAACTATCTGGAAGCTGCAGCCTGACCCTGCCTTCAGGGACTCCAGACCTGTAACCCAAAACCATCAAAAGGACTCAGGTCATATAGTCCATGAATGAATGATGTGTTTATTGCTATGCTATTCCTTTGGCAATTAGAAATTTATTATTTGTGTTCATTGTGCATATTGTTAGAGGCAAAGCATAGGAAATGTGGCAATATCTTGTTGTAGCAATTGCCTTAATATATTGTTTGCTATGCATCATTAAAGAAGTAACTGAATCCCAAAACCTCTGTCTTTGGCGTCTCTCTCTTCCCTCTCGAGGGGCTGATGATCTCACAGTGAAATCCAGTATATGGTCCCTGAGTGGAGCAGGACCTGTCGCTCCTCTCCCCAAGTGAGATTCTAACCCCTTATCAATAGCCTGCTTGTAACAAATAAGAATAGCCTGCTCACAACATCTACAAAGTGAGTTCCAGGACAGCCAGAGCTATACAGAGAAACCCTGTCTGGAAACCAGCCCCCCTATGCCCCCCCCCAATAAAACACGATAACAAATGTGGTCATTCTAAACTTTGTATAACATTTGTAAGGAATTTGGGATTAGTATTGGTTAGTAATGGAACCCGTTCCCTTTTCTGGTGTTTTATGTGGCTTGGTTTTCTTATAACTGCCTAAATAGCTCTTTCAGGCAGAATTTTCTCCTGATGATCCTTGCCAGTCTGCTATCTGCTATCTTGTTGTTTTAAGCTTTTTTTTTTTTAAACTTTATTTATTTACTTGTGTATGTGGACAGAGATTCAATCTTCTTCCACCATGTGGCATCTTGCCAGTCCTGCTGTTATTTTCAAGGAAAGGTCTCAGTGTAGTCCTGGGTAGCCTCAAACTTCATTAAGCCATCCGTTCTCAGCCTCTAGAGTTCTGGGACTACAGTATACACAATCATACCCAATTTTCTGTTATTGACTGGCTACTCTTGGGTGCTCTTAAGTTTACTAAGGTCCTAATTTATCACCGCTATCATCTTACCTGCAGACTTTAGGGGGCTCAGAGTGAGAGGCGGTCCAACTTAGACTCCTGCAGGCAGAGTAGTACTGGGGGACACACCACAGACTGTGGGTGGCTAGGACAAAAGGACGCAGAGGAGAGTGTATTTGTCGAAGGGACAGCTGGTTCCCCACTCCAGCTGAGTGTCATGTCACAGAGGGATGTAGGGTCAGCAAGTCAGATCCTTGGGGTTTTTATTTTGTTCTGTATAGAGCTAAAATTTTAGATTTATATGTGAATTTCCTCACTTGCAAAATGTTAGTCTGGTCAGGTATGCTGGTTTCACGCCTACAGTCCCAACACTGGGAAGTACAAGCAGGAGAATTTGGAATTTAAGGTCATCCTTGGCACCACAATAAGGTCAGAGCTATTCTGGCATACATGAGATCCCGTTGACAAAAACAGGAAGTAAGCGAAGTGATGTAAGTTTATAAACACCCTGCTATCCAATTAAAAAAACAAACAAAAAAAACCCCAAATAAACAAAAAGCAAAAAACAAAACTTGTAGCCTGTGGCTTAAAGGCAGTTGGAAGCAGTCAGGACCAGTGCCTCTAGGTGGAGGGAACTACAGAAACCATGGCTTCCAGTTTGAATGGGGCTGAAGATTACATAACAAACTGCTGCCTGGCAGACAGCCGGCTCAAATTATCCAGTCTTTTGTTCATTCATCCCTTCCCCTAGCCTAGCCCAAGGATGAATACTGTTTCCTCACAGGCTTTTGGGAGCACCCTGCTGCTTTGAGCACTGACTGTGCATCATTTGAGTGTTAAGATCGCCATCATTTATGTCCACGAATGGCCTGGATTGTTTCCCTTGGACTGCCTGTTTCTGATTGGCTACCTCATGATGAGTCTGTTCTGAGGCCTGCATTTTCCAGACCCTTGTCTCTTAACCTTAATCTGCTTCCTGCTTCCACCTTCCAGGTGCAGTCTTTGGGCTGCAGGAATCCTTCCTTGCAACACATCTCAGGTAAGTCCTGTTGGAAGAGCCAGAGTAGAAGGCCAGGAGTGGCTGGGCTTGTGTAACATGCCGAACTGGCAGTATCTGTTGCCAAAGAACAAAAAGAGAAGCCGGTTCTAGGTGATCACCATAAAAGCTTTCCCAGCATGCACTTGGGGCTTGGGAAGATGAGGAAACTCTGATAAGTGTGAGGTGAGGATATCGGAGACGCTGCCCGTGGACAGGAAGGTAGTATCGGAGTGACCATCAACTGGCACAGGTGAGTGTCTGGTTTGGAAAGCAAGTTGAAGACAACTTTGATTTGCCGAGCCAGTTGCTTATTGAGGGAAAATCTGGATGAGCGGGATGATAAAGTACCTCCAGTCAAAGGCTTTTAGATCCCAGCAGATTGCTTTCTCTCTCCTCCCAGGTGGACAGTTTGTTTGCTGTTCTGGAAAAACTAAACAGTGGGTGATCGGTTGACTTCATTGGAAAACAGCATTATTTTGAAACGAGGCTTGGTTTCCTGTGTCAGTGACCTGTGTAGAGGGAACACATCGAGTCTGTGCCTGGATTTTTGGAGTCATAGTTTGGCCACAGCTTAGATCGTCTCCACATTAGCAGAGCAGCTGAGGAGTTATGACAACATGTCTATAGGCAGGCTGTGGTCTGGCCTGCTGCTCCTGCTGCCTTTTTTCTGCTCTAGAAGTTCATCTTGTGGACTCTCAACTCATGTAGAAATAGGTAAGTACTGGTGTGTGTGTGTGTGTGTGTGTGTGTGTGTGTGTGTGTGTCTGTCTGTCTGTCTGTCTGTCTGTCTTACAGACAGGTTCTCCTGATATAGTTCTGGCTACCTTAGAGGTCACTATGTAGAATGGGCTGGCCTTAAGGTTGAGGTGATCTTCCAACCTCTTCTGAGTGCTGAGATTATGTGACTTTGACACCCTTTCCTACCCCCTTCGTGTGTGAGTTTTTAAAGATTATTATTATTATTATCATTATAATTATTTGGTCTGTGTGTAAGTATGCACATGAGTGCAGGTGCCCTTGGAAGTCAGAGGCATCAGATGCCCCTAGAGCTAAAGTTACAGGCAAGTATGAACGACCCAATAAGGGTGCTTGTGATCAAATTATGTCCCTGTCAAGAGCACTATGTACCCTTAACCATTGAGCCATTGAGCCATCTCGCCATCCCTCTTTGTGTTATTAAAAGAACAAGA